AAAAATGGATTATTTACATCACATGCAACTATTATAGGTATATTTAATATCTCTTTAGAAACACAACTAGAATCTATAGATTCTATTTGATTTAAGACTTCACCTCCAACACCAAGTATTCTATTCTTAGAGTCTTTAAATTGAAATCCAAGTGCTTCTAACATACCTATTCCTCCATCATTTGTTCCACTTCCTCCAATCCCAACAATAATTTTCTTTACTTTTTTATTAATTACAGCATCATATATTAGTTCTCCAACACCAAATGTAGTTGTTTTGAGAGGATTTCTTAATTCTTTTGGAATAAGTGTTAATCCACTACAACTTGCCATTTCAATTATTGCAATATTTTCATTGATTATTCCATATTCACTTTTTATCTTTTCCATTAATGGTCCATGAACAATCTTTTGTATTCGTTTTCCATTGAATTTTCTTATAATACTCTCCATTGTTCCTTCTCCACCATCTCCTAATTCAAACGTTTTGATTAAATAATTTGGATGAATACTATTTATTGATTGTTTAATACATTCATTGATTTCTTTTGAACTGATACTTCCTTTAAATGAGTCACATGCCACAACAACTTTCATTATAACAACCATTTTTTTTTTAGTTCTTTTTGATAATTTACAATATAAATTATGAATGGATAGTCATAATACAATGGTATTGAGTTTAATGAAAAATGATAAAAAAAATATTATGAAATGATAAATGAAGTGTTTCATAATAAAGAATTGAAAATGATTTAGTATCAATAATAATCTCAAAAAGATAATCTTAGAATTATTAATGATACTTAGTGTATCACTATTTCTTTTCATCTTATTTATTGGATTATTTTTTATTAAACAAAAACACATAAAAATGTATAGTAAAGAATCTGCATTAAGTGTTTATTTAACAATACCAGTATTATGTAGTCTTTATTTATCATTAATAATTGATGTAATTACTGAAGAATTTGCAGGATTGAGAATGATAATATTTATTATTACTATCATTTTTATAGTTGTTTTATTAATTGTAATATATCCATATTGTTTTCTTCATCATTATGGATTAAAAAAATGGAGTATGATTGGATTAATACTCCATGTAATAGTGATAATTATTATAAGTTCATTAATTCATACTGAACGAGGAGTATTTAGTTTATATGGGTTATTAGAAAAATTGGCAATTATTGGAATTTTTATCTCAGCAATATTATCAGGATATTCTTCGATTCAATTACCTATGAAACATCTTGACCCATTCCATAAAAAATATAGTGATGAACAAATTAAAACAAAATATGCAGAACTTAAATTTATGGAAAAACGAGGAGAAACAAGAAGTGAATTATATCAAATGATTTACAAAGAATATGTTATTATGTGTGAAAGTCAAAGAGCAAATAAAAAAAAGAAAGGAGTTATTGGAATATACAATAAAACATATGGTGGAATAATGATTATTTATTGTATATATAAATTAATTAATTGTATTATTCATATTATTGGATTAACTCATTCAGATGGATCAAGTTGGATTACAAAAACATTGTTTATTATTACAAAATTTATTCATATTGAAATAAATTGGGATAGTATAGCACAAATATTATCATTTGGTATGGTAGGAATATTAGTTATTACAGGTATTAAAGGATTATTATCTAAAACTATTAAAATTATAATATCATGTAATAATTTAAGTTCAAAACGAGTAAAAGGAAGTATTATTGTTGTTATATGTTATTTTTTAACAATATATTCATTATCATTTATCATTATGTCAAGATCTAATCTTATTGCTTCATCACATTCAGTTATTTATAATATTTTTCAAGATATTGATTATAATACATATACATCATTCTCAGATTTAATATTTTTCTTTTCAGCATGTTTTTCAATTATTTTCTTTTATTGTAAGAACAGATTTGGCTGGTTTGTTTCCTATAAATCAAAATATTTACCAAGTTAAGAAAGAAATCTTATAATTTAATAATAAGATTATACCTCAAAAATTTTTTTATTTTTATGAAGATTTGAAAATAAAGAATAAAATAGAAAAAAAAAGAAAAAAACAAAAAAAAAATAAAGAAGAACAAAAAAATTGTAAAAGAAATGGCAAAATTAAGAGAATTAATTCTTAGTGTTCGTAGTGCTAAAACAGCTGCAGAAGAAAGAGAAATTATTACTAAAGAATGTGCAATTATTCGATCATCAATGTCAACAAATAATTTAACAATAAGACATAGAAATGTTGCTAAATTAATTTATATTCAATTATTAGGATATCCAACACAATATGGACAAATGGAATGTTTAGCATTAATTTCATCACATCATTATTCAGATAAAAGAATTGGATATTTAGCATTAATGTTATTATTAGATGAAACACAAGAAGTATTAACACTTGTTACAAATCATTTACATAATGATTTATTATCACAAAATCAATTTATTGTTGGACTTTCATTAACAACAATATCAAATATTGGTAGTGAAGGTATTGCTCAAGATGTTGCATCAGAAGTAGAAAAATTAATGTCATCACCAATTAATTATATTAAAAAAAAATCAGCAGCAGCTGCTGTTCGTATTATTCGTAAATGTCCTAATTATTCAGATATTTATATTCAAAAAACTAAAGCTCTTTTAGTAGAAAGACAACTTTCATTACAATTATCAGGTGTAACACTTGCAATTGAATTATGTAAATATTTACCTAATGCAATTGGAGAATTTAGAAAATTAATTCCTAATTTATTAAATAACTTAAAATTACTTGTTCATTCATCATTTATTCCTGATTATGATGTTAGTGGAATTACACATCCATTCCTTCAAACAAAATTAATTCAATTATTAGGTATTCTTGGACATAATGATAAAGCTAATTCATCATTAATGTATTCAATTCTTAACTTTGTTATTGCAAATACTTCTAATAGTAGAAATGTAGGAAATGGTATTTTATTTGAAACAGTTAAAACAATTTTAAGTATTGAAGCAGATGAAACATTACTTCATAATGCGGTTGATGTTCTTATTAAATTACTTAATGGAAAAGATTCTAATTTTAAATATGTTTCATTAGAATATCTTCAATATCTTCTTGAATTTGCAGGTACTTCTATTCAAAAACATAAAAGTATTATTGTTGAATGTTTAAAAGATAGAGATCATGCTATTCGTAAAAGAGCATTAGATTTAGTATATTCATTAGTTAATGAATCAAATGTTGTTGGATTAGTAAAAGAACTTCTTTCATTCCTTCAATTATCAGATATTCAATTTAAACAAGATGTTGTAATTAAAATATGTTGGTTAATTGATAAATTTGGACCAGATATAAAATGGAAATTTGATTCAATGTTAGAAACAATTACTCTTGCTGGTGATATTGTTCCAGAAGAAGTTACATGGAATTTTATATTATTAATTCAACAAAATATTGAATTACAAAGTTATGCTGTTCATAAATTATTTGAAGCATTAAAAAAAGATGTTAGTAAATTAGCTTTAAATAAAGTTGCTGTTTGGGCTATTGGAGAATATGGAGATTTATTAGCTATTCAAGAAGGACAATTTATTGGTATACAACCAAGTATAATGCTTGATTTAATTATTTCTATTGATGGATCTGGTTTTTCTGATTCTACAATTAAAGGTGAAATTCTTATTGCTTTAACTAAATTATCTACTCGTATTCCTTCTCAATTTAATCAAAGAATTCAAGAATTTATTAATATTTATAAAACAAATATTGATGTTGAATTACAACAACGTGCAATTGAATTTAGTCAATTCTTTTCTTATGATGATTTAAGATTAGATGCTGTTAATAGAATGCCAATCCCTGAAAATCTTCATCAAGAAACTCATTCAAATCAAATTTCTCAATCTACTATACCAACTCAATCTCTTCCAACTGTTACATCTGAATCTTTAAAAGAAACTTCTCTTATTTCACATCCTCAACCTAATCAATCATTCAAAAAAGATGAACCTAAAAAAGATGAACCTAAAAAAGATGATTTATTAGATATTCTTGGTATTTCTTCATCCCCTGTTAAATCATCTCCTTCTTCTTCTTCTTCACAACAACAACAATCTACTAATTTGTTAGATTTACTCACTGGACCATTACCTACTAATCTTACTCCTAATACCACTATTAATATTCCTAATACTACTACTCCTTCAACTCAATCATCAACTAATTTAAATAACTTACTTCAACCAACTTCATCTACTCTCCCAATTCAACAAACTGATCTTTCATTACAACAACAACAACCAGTGAATAATACAAATAATCTTATTATTCAAGCATTAAATAATAATGGAGTAATTGTTAAATTCAATATTAAATCAGAAGAACCTAAATATCTTGTTCATGCCACTTTCACTAATACTTCTAATTCTCAATTAACAAATTTTTCTATGAAAGTTGCAGTACCTAAATGGATTGAGTTACAACTTATGAGTCCAACTGATAGTATTCTTCAACCATTATCTACTGATCAAGTTACTCAAGATTTAATTCTCACAAGAATGGTTACTGACAAACCAGTAGTTGTGAAAATTAAAGTTCTTTTCATGAGAGATGGTGTTCAAGCTGAAGAAAATGCTAATGTCTACATTTGCAATTAATTGAGCTGAACTTGATTTTTTATTTTTCATTATCTATGTTTTTTCTTTATGATGTTATTATTTGTCTAATTCTTTTTGAAATAAACTTAATCTTGATATAAAATCCTTTAACAAAATAATTGGTTTGAGTTAGTATTATCTTTTTTGTGATACCTAATTATGTTCATCTTTAATCTTTGCATTTGTTTTTTAATTTAAATTTCCCTTTTTTAAATCTGATTTTCATTCAAATTTTACTCTTCTTTTCATTACATCTTTGAGGATATCCATTTGTTTGTAACAAAAAATACTAATAAGTATCTTTATATTTACACAATTTCCATGAAACACAATATGGGAATAAATTGTAACTGGAAGGAAGACATCTTTGAAAATAATAATAAGTATTATAGGAAGAGAACGAGAATGTAGTATGAAGTATGAATTAGTAATTATAATATAATAAATATAAATAATAACGACGTTATAATGACAATCTCTTAATTAATATAAATGTTGTAAATTGTTATTTTCATTTTGTTCATTGTTATTTGTTAATATTTTATTTAATTTATATATATAGTTTGATGTTGTGTATTACAAATTATTGGTAATCAAATAGTTTTTATTTGATATATTCACATTTGTAATATTATTTGTTGTTCATATTCTTTTAATTGATTCAATTATGAAGTGTTGATATTTCATTTGATTTAATTAATGAATCTTGTTTGATATTAGAATTGTATAAAATAGATGATTGATAAATAAGAATTAATATTTCATTTATTTCTTTATTTTTTCATTCAATTCATTCATTCATTCATCTTCTTCTCTTTTAACATTATTCAATATATTCATTGTGTTATATAATTATCAATGACAATACCATTTGATTCAAACTTAATTCATTCATCAAATTGGTGATTGACCATTCTTCATTTTAAATAAAATCTTATTTGATTCTTCATTACAACAATTAAATAAATCAATACTGAATGTTTAAATAAATGAAGAATCTAAATATTATGCAATTTGAAATGTAAATCAAATACTAATTTAACGAAAGATGAAAAGAGAATGAATAGAATTAACAATAATAAAATCAAATAAAATATTTCAATATCATTCAAAATAAAAATAACAAAATAAAAGAATAAGAAATAAATATAATAAAACAATACAAATACACAAATACAATAAAATAATGAATAATTATATTTTCAAATATTATCTTATCTCATTCTTAATTTTACTTCTTATATTGTAATTGTTGATTGAAGACACATAGAAATTAAATAATATATTAACAAATAATAATGAAAAGAATGAAAATAACTGTTACAATTTTTATATTAATTAAGAGATTATCATTATAACATCGTTACTATTTATATTTATTATATTATAATTACTAATTCATACTTCAATACTATATTCTATTTCCCCAGTTCAATTCAATTTTGAAATCCTCAAAGTTTTAGCTGAGTTGGTTATATTCAAATAACACTCGATTTATTTTAAGTAAGGCTATGTATTTAACAATAATAAAGCAACAACTCTTCTTAGGTTTACAACACTAGAATATAAATGTGAAATAAAGTATCAATAAATAACTCATTTTATTATTTTTCAATGAAAGATTTAATTTATAATTTCTTTTCAAAAGAAGAAAAAAGAATTTTTTTGGAATACATAATTAATCCAAAAACAAAAATCTGAATAAGTAATCTCATAGTTAATGTCTAACGACCCTGTTGGTGGGTGTATTACTAAATCAATTCAACATTATTGTGACTGAAACCATTCTCAGTGGTGCTGTTCATTGACTTTACCATGAAATAAGAAGAGAAATATGGGTGGATTGTGGTAATAAAGCAAGAGTTGCAGTAGATGCAAAAGGATGGATGACCACTGGATAGGAGAAGAAAACAGAAATAACCATTTTATTGAAAAAAAGAGACCAGGACATAACTCTAGTGGTTAGTTATTTAATAAAAAACTCAATTTTATTTCCAATAAATAAATTGGTTCTTTCTTTTACAGAATAAGAAATAGTATAGAATTGTTTTATTTTAAGAATACAGATATTGATAAACTAATCGAAAAGATAATGATAATAAGAAATGAAGACTCAATACTAATTATCATTTTATTCAATTATGTTAAGAAATGTCTTTCGCAGTAATTCAAATATTAAAAGAAATAAAGTGAAAATGAACTGTAACAATTTGATCATCATTAATTAAGGTATTATCATAACAATAAAAATAAACAATAAATAATGAGTTAACACCTGGTTGGTATCAAATAACAATAGAATCTACTCAGTGTGTAGGTTGAATAAATAATATAATAAATTAGTAATAAAATACACAAATAACTACACACATATAATGAACAAAATCAAACATAAAAAGGATAAAAGAATAAAGTAATAATAAAGAGGTTAACTAAAGAGAAGAAGACAAAAGAAATATTATAAAATATAGCTTATAAGAACAAATAAAAACAAGTAATCATAATAACTAAAATAATGTCAAGTCATAAGTTTGATATTATAATCAAACAAAAATTATTAGAGTTAATAATATTAATAAAAAAAAGAGTTGTTTAACTATAGAATTATACATAAATAATAAAAACAAAACAAGGTATTAAAATTAATTATTTTAACATAGCTAAAGGAACTGAGCTAAAATAGAGTTATTTAATAAAATAAGTAAAGGTATTGATTTAATTTTGATCTGGTAGCTTATTTGCATAACTTCCAATATTAAATGTTTTAATTTTTCCTTGTTTTTGTTTTGGTTTATACCTAGTAAAATATACTGATTGTCTTTTGTTAGAAAATATATCTCGATAAATTGGAGGAGAAAGGATTTTATTTACACTCTTTCTAAAACAGTCATTGACATCCTAAATGAGCTAAGTATTGATAAAATAAAATATGAACATAAAGAAAACAAACCAGGAAATATAAAGT